TAGTGGCAGATTCTGAAATAAACAGAGGTCTCTTAGGACCGAAGCTGACATCACTGATACCTTTCTCAGGATCTCATTCCCTGTAGGTTCCATGGTTGAGCTAAGCCTAATTATTCCCAAAGAAAACCACAGAGCCAGGTGTCTTAGCAGGAAGATGATAAAAGGCAAACATAGCTATCTCAGGGACAAAAGCCTCAAGGGTAAATATCTCTAACTTTATGAAGGTCCAAACAGGTGACCCATTATTGGGAATCACAGCATGAATGGGAAAACATTGATTTTTTTAAGGTACACCTGGAACTAGGCAAAGGCACAGGAAGGGTAGAGGGAAGTTAGACCAATATTTAGTCATACGTGGACTGCTAGTCTTCACCAGCATGTGAGCCAAACTATCAGCAGTACAACATTTGGGTTACTGACGTGTGTTTGTCCACCCAGGTTTTCTCAGTAATTATTCAAATGTCACCTCCATAACTCTGCATTTGTTTTCTCTTATTAAACATCCGAGCGGTTGTCATTTACTCAACCCCCAGTAGCCCATGCTTTCTTCGTTAGGCCAAACCACAACAGTACAGTGCAGTAAAAGTAAAGATAGGCATGTGCCACGAAGGTGGCACCGGCCTATAATCCCAGCACTCAGGAAGTGGAGCTGAGAGGACTGTGAGGTTGAGGCCAGCCTGGGCTACACAGTAAGATGATATTTCAGATGGTAAGAAAATTAAGCCACTTTAATCCCATTTTACACATGAGAGACAGTAGGCGAGAAGGTGACTTCCTGAAGCAGGTGCCGAGGAGCGTATTAGTTTTACTGGTTCAACAGACCTGAAGTTAAATCGTTCTCTGCTCACATTTCTCCTCTCCTGGAGGCTCAGTAATTTTCCAGGGTGAGAGATGCTGCGGGGATGAGAGGAAGCCTAGCGCATTGGAGCTCACAGCTCTAGCAAGGACTGGCCATTCCCTCCACCCAGAGATGCTTCTGGGACGATGTCTTTAACTGGTTTTCCAAATGTATTTTTATACTTAATTTAATATTCATTTAGGGTATTAATTATGTTTTAATTATTTACAAACATAATGGTCTTCATTGCACTTTATTTATCACTAATGAATTTATTTGGTATAAGGATAGTGGCTTTTGAATTCTTTTTCCCCTAATGTTCATTCAAAAATGCTCTATCTGGGGGGCTGGAGAGATGGCTCAGCGGTTAAGAGCATTGCGTGCTCTTCCAAAGGACCCGAATTCGATTCCCAGCAACCACATGGTGGCTCACAACCATATGTAATGAGGTCTGGTGTCCTCTTCTAGCAGGCATATATGCAAAACAGAATGTTGTAGCCATAATAAATAAATAAATATTTTAAAAGAAAAAAAAAGAGAGCAAAGCACCACTTATAAGAATAATGAAAATGTAGACCATTGCCAGAGCTGTGGAGAGCCCTCACGATTTTATCACCTCTTCCACGCAATCCCAGCACTGGCTTGCTTCACTCTCTAGAAAACAACCTCCCATCCAAGTACTAACCAGGTCTGACCCTGCTTAGCTTCCGAGATCAGCTCAGTCATGATTTTTAGTTGACTGTCTTCAGAGGATCATAATATAATCTGTGAGTCTTGAAAAATGCCAACCCAGAAGATAGTGCAAGAAGTCTGTACCCTGGCTTGGCTTTCCTTTCTTTACTGGCATCTCAGACAGGCTGTCTTTCCTTCCCCAGGTATCTATCTGTGTATGCAGGGGAGAGGGCTGGAGTTAAGTCGAGGGCAGAAGAGAGATGTGACTGGCAGCTGTTTGTTCTCCATGGTAAAGATGGTTAACACAGAAGGGACACACTACTTTTCTTTATGAAGAGTTTGATTTTTTTTTCTGGAGCTTGTTGTTTCCCTACTGCCCGGCTAGCTTACACCTGAAATAATCACATAGAGAATAGAGACTGTACTAATTAATTCACTGCTGGGGCCATTACCTCTAATTTCTTATTGTCCAACTCTTACATATTAATTTGACCCATTTCTATTAATCTGTGTATGGCCATGTTGCTGTGGCTTGCCAGCTAAAGTTCCCAGCGTCTGTCTCTGGCAGGTCCATGGCTTCTCTCTAACTCCGCCTTCCTCTTCCCATGCTATAGGCCAAGCCACTTTCTTTATTCATTAACTGATGGAGGTGGGTCTTGTATCTTATCTGTTGCTTTCATTGGTTAATAATAAAGAAACTGCCTCGGCCCTCATAGGACAGAAAATTAGGTAGGTGGAGTAAACAGAAGAGAATGCTGGGAAAAAGAAGCTGAGTCAAGGAGTCGCCATGATTCTCCTGCTCCAGACAGACGCAGGTTAAGATCCTACCTGGCAAGCCAGCTCGTGGGCTACACAGAATATTAAAAATGGGTTAAAACAATATGTAAGAGCTAGCCAATAAGAGGCTACAGATAATGGGCCAGGCAGTGTTTGAAAGAATACAGTTTCCGTGTAATTATTTCTGGGCATAAGCTAGCCATGCGGGCAGCCGGGTGCCGGGGACACAGCCTCACCGCTCCTAATGCAACAATTAACCAATAAAAGCAACACATTGACAGAAGGACCTCCCACACCAAGAGCTGATGAATCATCTCCACTACTCTTTCATTTGGTTGTTACCATTTACTGGTCCTAGAATGTTATAATCTGGAAGACTGGGTGAATATAATCCAATAAATCAACAGAAACCTCGAGGAAAAGAAATTTTGTTGTTGACAAAAAATTGCCAATCAATATTCAGGTTACTTTGCACCTTCCACCCAGGTTTCCACACTCATTAGGCACACAGAAGGGGTCCCACAAGCATCCGAAGTTATTGAGGTGACTGCTATATGAACAGACTGTTCTCTTCTGACCAGGCAGAGAGCAACATAAAGGTCTCTTCAAATCCATGAAGGAAAGCCCTTACCAGGCTGCCTCCTGAGATGGCAAGACCTGCTTCTTGAGTAACTGATGAGTTCAGAGGTCACATGTGTAGAAAGGTTTGATTTATTCTGTAAGGTGTCCAGACCCAGTTTGAGTTAACACTGACAGCTTCACCTGCACCCACAACCAGCCTCTTACAGGACTAACAGCAAGTCCTGGGCCTTTGGAGAACTTGGGGTGGCTGTTGGAAAATAACTGTTAGGCTAGGGAAAAGTGGGGAAGTTCTTCAGTTAGGCCTTGGGGTACTAAATGATCACTGACACAGAATGAAGAAGAAAGAAGAGGAAGAAGGAAGAGGAGGAGGAAGAAGAAAAACAACAAGAAGAAAAGACAAGAAGAAAAACATGAAAAAGAAAAACAAGAAGAAGGAAAAGAAAAAGGAGAAGAAGAAGAAGAAGAAGAAGAAGAAGAAGAAGAAGAAGAAGAAGAAGAAGAAGAAGAAGAAGAAGAAGAAGAAGAAGAAGAAGAAGAAGAAGAAGAAGAAGAAGAAGAAGAAGAAGAAGAAGCAGAAGCAGAAGCAGCAGCACACTCACTGGAACCTGGAGCCTCTGGGATGGACCTTTTAGGCCCTGCCTTCAGTCCTGTACTTCACAGACTCTCTCTAACTGGAGGCATGAAAGGGAGAGTTTACTTTCTGACTGATGACTGACAAAGTCCCTCCTAGGCACTGGAAGCTCTTGAAGCAGGTGAGGAGGTGAGACTAAATGCCACCAACATAAAAAAACAAAAAAACTGCTACGGCAGAAAACACCACTTGGCACCTAACAGAGCTTGACCAAGGGATGCAGGAGTACAAGCAATAGTCAGACAGCTCATTTCATGCGGTCCTGAGGGTCCATCAGAGGCAACTGAACTCCCAACTGTTGCCCCATCTCATAGTGATGCCACCTTCCTCCTGGACACTTCCGCTGGTCCAGTGTGACACCCACCACCTCAGCCCAGGACGCAGGGCACCCATATTTTCCCGTAGTCACATCTCCAGTTCCTGACAGACTCCTCCACCCTCCTTTCCTTTTCACTTCTCCAGCCCTCAGAGTACGCTCGTGAGCAGCATACAATCACATTTATTGAACACCTACTACATGCCAAGTCTGTGTTTACTCGCCGTCGTCTCCACAGTCATCGGAGGCAAACAATGCCGCGGTAGAGGCCAGTGTTCAGGAGCCGGCTAGCTAACTGGGTGGGATTTTATTTAAGGCCTGTAGACCACATCTGAGGGATTCGAATTATGTCTGTAAGTTTCCTTCTAACTCAGAGCCTATGATTACTACTGCTTTCCCTCCACTTTTACTGGGCTGTAGTGTCACTTTTAAGAAGGCAAAATTTACAAGAGACAGCCAGGGTTGTTATGGGAAAAGCAACTTTAAATATACCCTCAGCTTTCCCATGAAAAGGGGAACTGCCCAGATTCGCTGTGGAGAAAACTGCAGCCTCTGGAAACCCTCCCTCTGATCGTACTTATCAAACGGAGCTCCCCGCGCCCCACCGCGTGCCAATAGGGAGAGAACCACACTAGAGGGTTAAAGCCTGCCGGTATGGAAATGCAATTTCCTCCAGTTAGCCTAGATAATTGCAGTTCTGTGAAAGTCTATCATTAGTCCACTCCAAGAAGGGTCCCAAGTTAGAAGAACCCCGGTGGCTGTCGCTGACGTGTGGTCAGCGAGCAGACCTGGCAGAAGCTCAGCCCACCACCCACTCTGCGCGCGCTGAGGTCCAGGCGAAGACGGGGCAGCGGGACTCGGACTGGAGGAAGAAGGGACTTTCCTATCTAGTCCTGTTTTCTGGTTGGGACCCACTTCGCAAGCTCAGGACGACTCTGGCTCGTAGGATACCCATCCCCACCCCCGGGAATGGAGGTTCCCAGAGGCACCGGGCAGCGAGGGGCTCCCCGAACGTGGCCCGCTGAGGGGAACGCGGACTTAGCCCCACGTCCCTGCCTGTCACCGAGCACCCGTGTCTTCCCTCCCGGCTCTGAGTCCCGCGTCCGAGACTCCTGGGGAGGGCGGGACCCACTGCGGGTCGGCAGGGCGGGAGGGGACGGCCAGGCAGGCGGCTGGCAGCCTACCGTCTTCTGCTTCTTGACCCCCGACATGCTGTGGCTGTGGCGGAGCCCAGATCCAGGGCGCAGGGACGCGGATGGCGGAGGTGGCTGCCGGGCTCCAGGGAAGGAGGTATAAAAAGGCTCCTCAGACACGTCGCACTTCCCTTGACCGGCCCCCTTCTCCTACTCCTCCTCCCGCCGCGCTCCTCTCCGCCCCGTCGGCTCCGCCAGCAGCGCCCAGCCCCGGGGACCCGGCAGCCGCCAGGGCGGGGTTCCCCGCTGGCATCCTGCCAGCTCAGGTCTAGGACAAGCTCTGGACCCAGGCGCATCCTTCACAGCTCACTCTATCTCGCATCCTACAAGAATCCCCGGGATCCTAGAGTGTACTGAGTTAAGGGTGAGCACATTTGAGGCCACCAGGCCTGCTGCTGTGGACCTCAGAGCATCAGAGCCTATACTGTACTTAAACCTTATGGATGCTCACTCTACACTCCCGTGATCCCTGCCTTATTCCTCGTGTGCCACCATCGTGGCCTGGCTTCAGGCGGCTGCCCTTCTCTCCGTTTGGCAAATGAGGTCATGAAGATATTTAGGGTTTCCCCCAGATTGCATTCCAAGAAAGGGGATTCAAACCTGGCCGGTAAGTGCAAAGTGTGACCCCCAGGCATCATTACAGCAAAAAGAATAGAAAGCCCGAAGTTCGTGAATTAACTGCACTTCGCGCCTGGCATCGCGGTCAGGGGTCCTGTTCAGCCCACGGTAGCACTGACTGACTGATCAGAGGATTCACTGTCACCAAAGGGCAAGTCTGCAGGGCCAGACCGGGAGGCTGGACAACGGGAGACCTGACACCATTGCTGTTCGTTCCAATCTTTTCCCTACAGTGGCTCTTCTGTCTGTGGGATGGGCCCTGAGGAGGAAGCCACACCAGTTGAGGAGGATTATGGTTTTTAAGTTTTGTGAGATGCCACTCTCTGGAAGGACCCAAGTGTCAGGGACAAGTAACGCAGAGAGAAGCTATGTTGACCAGCACCTTTGGGGACAGACACTGGGTTTCCAGTACCCTGGCTCCCTGCCTGAGGACACAGGAAGGCCTACAGACCGGCTACCTCAAGGGATCCAAGAAGGCCCACAAAGTCCCTGCCTCTCCAACCCCTGTGAAAGAGCTGGAGAACTTTTCTCCAGAGGTGAGGGATGGAATTTTTCTTTCAGACCTAATTTACTCCTAAAAGATGGTCAATTTTCTTTACACCTGAGGAGTTATTTACTGGTGTCCCCTCTGCAAGGGAAAATGAGAAAGAAAAACAAGCCGTGAGTCATTCTTTGAAAGGCAGCCTGCATGTTTGTAGTCTAGAGGGGTTGGCCTACTTATTTTCTTTCATTTTGAGGAAATTGCAAGCATCCCCGTCAGAGCACAGCTAGGGGACAATTACTGGGCTTGAGTAGCTCTATAACAGCTAGCAGATATTAATTTAGTTTATATGAGGCTTACACAGCAACGTCCTGCTGGTATCCCATCGGGGAAAATCCTTTTTATATCAGATTCAACCATATCTTGGATCTTGTTAGTCTGGCCCTAAGAGAAGGTTCGTAAAGTGCGGATGGAGAAATCGCGCAGTTTGCCTGAACGCTGTGTTCTTTTCTATTTCACAGTGAAAAATTCTGTGTTCTTCAAACAAAGACGGAAGGTGAGGGTAAATCCTTAAGGCTACTTCCTGGAAAAGCAATCTTTGTTGTCTTAGATGGACGAGGAATTCTGAGATCGTTTACCTAATTTTCCTGTCTTCGGCAGGTGCACACCAGAGGCTCAGAAAAAAGGGAATAATAGGGGCTGTGATCCCTAGTTAGGAGTAGGACTGGGACTCAAATCCAGGATTCCCCCAAGTGATCTGACACCTAAATCACTAAGAGGCCTAGGGCAACTCTTTTGACACCCCATGACAACCCGAGTTTCACCCCGACGAGTCAATTAATTTTCAAGTACTGCTTTTGAACATGTATTTTGTATTAACTTCTAAAGATGTCGTATTGGAGGTCTCAGCTCCCTTGGATTCAAGCCAGGTGGTTATGACCCTTTAACACCATAGATTACCGGTTTAGTCAGAACTCAGCGCAGCAAGTTTAAACACACGCACACCACACACACACACCACACACACACACACACACACACACACACACACACACTAAAAACTTACTCTCCTAAGTCTGGGCCCTGGAGTTCTTTCCATGTCACTACTTTTCTTACTCCTATAAGACAGCACTTCTGAGGGCAGCAGAAGCTGAAGTTACACTCAGAATTCTGTGTCCAGGGAAAGGGAGAGACTCACTGTGGGCAGGGGAAGGGTTGCATCCAATCATCTGGCAGATGAACACCATCTTCCCTGCTCCAGTGCTAACATCCTCTCCAAGGCTGCGTTCATCACCGTGGGCCATGTGGGACTGACCTACAGCTCTCTGTACCACTCACGGCATTCACGTGAGGGCCCAGTTTTGCCCATTTTCTTTTCTTTCTAGAAACTGTTGAGGCTTGAGTAATCTAAAAAGGTGAGGCTGGCTAGCTGATCCTTTTTGTTTAGCAAAGTTGGAATCAATCAACTCCTCCAAACGACCAGGGGAAACACGAAGAATTCAAGTGGGTGAGTATTTAATGTCACAGGTTCACCAGCATATTTTAGGGGTGCTCAACATATTTTAGTCAAGGATCTAAGACACCACCCATGCGTGGTCATGACAAAGGAATTCAACCGCGTTGCCCCCTAGTGGCTGTAATGCATAAGTGTTCGAGGAAAAACTGAATTGCTGAAACTCCTTATACAAATGTAGGTAGCATTCTATTCAGAAAGAAGTCCTTCCTGTGGCTTCTGAACAGGCTTCCCAGAAACAGGCTTCAGCCAGGCAAGAAGACGCTTATAATCCATAAGGAGAGATGAATTCTCTCTAACCTGGTCACTTCAACTAATACATGTCTGGAACAGGTAAAAAGAAATGATAAAGGCATGTCTTATCTGGTTTACTGTGACTTAAAGCACAAACATGTCAAAACCACCTTGAAGGGCTATGGGCTTCTCTCATGGTGTGGGGTCTGCTGAAGGGCGTTCACAGCCTACCCCCATATATATATTCCCATTTGGAGTTTTATTAACTGGGGCTTATAATTACGAGCATTTGGGCCTGAAAACATGGCCCTGCAGGCGACCCCAGCTCCAGGGGATCTGATGTCCTCTTCTCACCTCTTTGGGCAGCCCCCACCACATACACATAAGTAAAACAATGCTAACAGTGCTAATCATAATACTAGTGAAAGTCCTTTTACAAATTAAGAGCATTTAAAAATCCATCCGAGGGGCAACGATAATCTTGTTTTCCTTCAAGAGGCAGCAACATGTCTTCACCCTGTATTTGTCTGTTGTCTGGCCTAAGGCTGATTCTCTGGGACCACAAGGAAGGGGGACAGTGGAGACTGGTTGTCAGGGTTCCCTTGGGGGGGGGAGACTGAAAATGACCTGGGACTTTAAGAACTGGCAGGGCTGTGTGAGCCCTCCCTTCCCCAAAGTGGGTGGTATGGAAATTTAAAAAATTACAGGCAGAGAGACTCCTGAAATCATATGGTGTGTGCAGCGGATTACCCAGATCTGCGCTGCTGATTTTAGAAGACGAAACAGAAGAAGAGCGAAGGTCGGAATAGAGAGCATACTGTCCTGATCAGGCAGCGACAAGAACGTGTGTGTTCCTTATCATGCCCGTCATGATGAGAGGATGTTAGCTGTGCGGCAGTCTTTGGTGGGACTGGGAGGACACTTGTGAGGTTCTAGGAGGAGAATCAGAAATCTAAGGCATCCAAAGTCTGGTAGGACAAGTGTGTGTGTGTGTGTGTCTTCAAGGAAATACCTTTTCTCTTCTTCTCACTATGTGTGCATGTGGTATGTGTGTGTGTGTGTGTGTGTGTGTGTGTGTGTTTCATGCACAGTGAGGCTCACAGTTGATATGGAGAATCTTCCTCAATTGCTCTTCCACCTTATTCTTCAAATTAGGATCTCCATCCAGACTTAGAACTCACCAATTCAGCTAGCCTTGAATTGCTCTGGGAATCCATTCTTGCACACCAAAATTGGAATTACAGGTAGACCACCATGCCCACCCATTATTTCCCTGGGTCTTAAGGGAATCTGAACTCTGGGCCTCTTACATATTATTTGCTGAGTCACTTCCCCAGCTCCTAGGGAAATGTCTTAAGAACTGGGCTAGTTGGGCCTGGTGCGACAGGTTTGTAATTCTAGCTACCTGAGAGGCCAAAGCAGGAAGATGGAAAGTTTAAGGTCCACCTGGCTATAGAGACAGAAGAACCAGAATTAGTGGGTATCTGGAGGGACAGCGGTAGTACAAGAGCAAAAATCAAAAGCTAGGGCAGTGGCTGCAGACTTTGAAAACATTCATATTTGAAGTTTTCCAGGGTAAAAGGAGGCCGGATCAGGGGTGGCATACCACCTCCTGACTGATCGCTGAGGCTGCCTGGGCTATGCAATGGGCTCATTTTCTGTCCTCATGCTCCTGGGTCTCCTTTCTGAAGAAACCCAGTCTGTCACTAAAGGTTCAATGAAGTCTACAGAGAAAAACTAGATGTGGAACATTTATAGCAGACCTGGCCACTCAACAGCTGCCTTGTAGGAGAAACTGTATATATAACCCAGGCAAAACCAACGCTCTTCTCCCACGTCTCAGGTGGAATCCAGCCCAAAGGTATTGTGTAGTCTTTGTATTAATTTATAGGGATGGCTGAGTGGGCAAAGTCCTGTGACCAGAGTTCAACCCCCAGAACCTGTATGGTGGAAGATAGAACCGATTACTCTAAGTTGTCCTTTGACCTCTACACGGATAGTGGCAAGGGCATGCCCTCTTCAGTGGGCATGCTTTCTCTCTCTCTCTCTCTCTCTCTCTCTCTCTCTCTCTCTCTCTCTCTCCCCCTTCCCCCATCTTTTCAGGACAGGGCTTCTCTGTGTAGCCTTGGCTGTCCTGGAACTTGCTCTGTAAACCAGGCTGGACTCAAACTCACAGAGATCGTCCTGCCTTTGCCTCCCAAGCACTGGGACTAAAGGCGTGCGCCGTGACATGAAAGTAGAATGGTTGTTAGGGAAGGAGAGGACCAATAATGGGGTTATGGATGGGGAATGTGAACAAGACACACTGGTAA